CCTACTATGCCCGAACCACCTATTTATAATTTATTAGTCACTTTCTAGTTCTTGTAATGCTTTGTTGAAATATTATATAATAAATAGTGTGTGTTTGATAGCTATTTTTCTATTAAACGAAAAATTCATTGTTAATATTTCTTAAAAAAACTTTAGCAAAAATTTTTCTAATTTGTTTATTAAATAAGGGTTATGTCAACCTGTGGATTTCAAAAATGGTGTTTTTCCTTACCGAAGCTCCTCTCTTGCTGATCGGTCACGTGATCAAGGGAATCTCAAATGTTTCAAAATGAATCACCAATTATTAAAGTTTATTCAATATTCTCTAAATGTGCATATTTTTAATTATTTGTTAAATAAAATGCCGTGTAAAAATACATCACGTAAAAACGCATTTTTTCTGACCTGCAAGTGGATACTCTTATAACCTCTTAAAAATGTGGAAAAGGTGAAATTTTTTTTTAAATCTTATTTATTCAAAACGCCAATATTTTAGTTTTATAAAGTTTACAGTGAAGGTATAACCTAAGTTCATACATTTAGCTTACGGTAATCATCTATAGCTCGCTGACGTCAATGACACCGAAAAATTTAAGAATTTATGCATGAGAGACTCTAATAAACTTTAATGCGATTACAGAGGTTCTCAGTATTACTGTTTTCTTAACTCTGATATCTGATGCCAAGTTCATGAAACGTTTTATTTGTTGTTTGAATGTGTTTGTTAGTTAGCGACTTATATCAAAAATGTATTTTTTTAATACGATTTTTTGCAATACGACTAAAATGTGCTCAAAAAGTAAACCTCATTTTCTATCTTTACAATTCGGTTTGAAAAAAAGAGCGAAGTTTGTAAGAGCAAAACAGCCCAACCGTAAATTTGCAATTTCATATTTGGTTTTCTTGACAAGAAACATAATCAGTTTATTTTACAGACTCTTCTTTAAATTTGTTTGAGATTTTAATCTGCATATATATATACATATACAATCTTCGCGGATATTGCATGCAACAAGCAATTATGTTTGAAGCTGCACGAGGCAAAGTAATAAGCCAGCGAATGCAGTTGAGAAATATAATTAAGAAGAATTGTACATTAACAAACTAAACAATAAACAAATAATGACGAAATGTTACTTTTTCACTACGAAATCGCAATTATTGTCTAGCTTTAGGCAATAATGAAAATTTTTGACCACAAAAGTTCTTTTTTAAACATAATTAAAAGCTTTTGTTTATACAAAATAAATGAACCTAAAGAAATCATAAAAACAAAAATAGTTTTAATCTAATTATGATTCATTTCATTTAAATTAAAACCGTCTAAATATGATGAGACAATGATTGAACTGTAAGCCTTTGTTTGTTTGACCTTCAGACACCGTTTTCTTATATCAGAAGTGGCAGCTTAAAAGTACAGCGGTTGCATTCAGAATCAATTTTCTCTGCGTAATTAGTTGAGTCGAAAAAATATTTATAATGTTGTGATTGTACTCGAAATGCAAACAAAAGCAATGTACGCCGCCTTTGCCCACGGTGATTTACCTAAACAAATACTAATGAGCGAAACAATTTTTTACGCATTTATCATAATTTTATTTAAATTTTTTATTTCAATTGCGTTTCCAACAAATAAACTTTTTGTAATTTTCAACTTCTTCATTTTTTATCTTTTTGATATTTTGTTTCCACATTTTCACGCTTTTGAAGCTTTAACAAATTTTTTAACGCTAATGTCAAGCTTGTAGTATTAAGGCATACATGAGTATATAGTATTATATATACATATGTAAGTGTGGGAGATAATTATGCGAATCACGCAATGCGCAATAAACAGCGCCATTATGGTATTTCAAATGTGTCAAATCACAACGAAGAGTACCAACGAATGAACCTTGAAACTTGCGCAAATTGATGCTAGACCAATCTACTCATACATGCATACATTTTTACATAAGCATTATTTTCTTTTAATGATGAAAATTCTGCTGGTCATTGCGGTATGTCATTTACTGGCGACATCATTTAAAGAAGATTCCACAATTTAGTTCATGAAAGCAATTTTTCAATTTCGATACGAATGTCAAATTGAATATGTACTTTTTGCCTAGCCTTGATAGGAGTTTACTTTGAGTCTGTCTTTAATTGCGTTAATTTAATGATAAGATGGTTTTTAGTTGCTGCTAAATCACACGGAACGACAATAAATGACATCTATTACGGTGAATTTCTTTCAAGGTTGCGCATTTTTTTTTTTAAATTTTGGATTCATTATTGAATATAATGGCTCTGTCTGAGTTCTAAAACAAATTGATGGAACACGCAGTACGCTAACATAAAATTTTTAATCATAATTGAAAAACAGGTTTTTTTTTGTAATTTTTAGTTATAAACTTGGGATTCAAATTTAATTTTTCAATTCGCTAATTTAGATAAAAAATTATTTTTAATTAAGATTTTCGGGATTAAAAAAAAAAAAAATTATTTAAATGTTAATTCAATTATTTTTTTCGTATATTCGCTATTTTAGATAAAAAAATTTTAAATTATTTTTTATTAAGATTTTCGGTATTAAAAATAAAATAAAAATATTTAAATGTTAATTCAATTATTTTTTTCGTATAATTTGAGAGCGATCTTATAAGTTCTTGGCGGTAAACGTAATTCATATTTTTAAGAAAAACAAAGTTTTAGTATTTTTTCAATTGCACTCAATCCTAATCTCAAAAAATATGATAAAAGAAGAAATTCTTATAGTGAGGAAGTAGACCAATTAAAGAGTGCAGGACACTATGGAGCAATTCTCAATCTCTGTTCTGTATTGCATTTAAGGAGAGAAACTCGCTTATGCAATGTTCAGACTATTAATTTTATAGTAGTTTTTCGAATGTAAGTACTTTTCTCGAGTTTTTAACTGAAAAGGTACGTCGAATTTCGTAACAGGTAACACAAAGCATATTGCCCGTGCATATGAAAAGTTGTTATGCCTGAATACAGCCCTAGGGAGACCATAATTTGAAAAATTATATGAAATCTGAAAAGAGTGTTGATATGATGTCCTTTTTAGGTATTGAATCTATTTAGCATTGAAAAAAGGTTTTTATTTTTTATTTAAATTGCTAATTGGTCCACACTTCTGGAAACCCAAAAAAATTTAACGAAGATTTATATACTTGGAATTAATGTAGAGACAAAGGTAAAAGATCAATGCAACCGAAGGATTATATGGTGTTGTTTCAGATAATTCAATGTTTATCATTAATGCCTTTATTATATCGTAGAGAAAAACTGCTTTGGATCCGAATAATGTCTAATGATATTATAATACGTATGTTTTGATAACCAAATAGATTAGAGTAGATAATTTTTAAAAACAAAAAAAAATCATAAATAAGACATACACATAACGAACATCTTATATATCTTATATTTACTGGAAAACATTAGTAGACTAGTGCAGAGGGCTTTGAAAATGGTAAAAGAAGACATTCATAGTAAGTTGAAAAACATTGGAAAGAAAATAACAAATAAAATAAAATACCAGACATGAAAGTAATAACAAGAAAAAACGTTAATTTTGGTTGCACCGAAGCTACTATAATACTCTTCACAAATACAAAAGTTTCCTTACAAGAACTTTATTCCGATCCCTTAGTTATCCGAACTGCACAATTTCCAAACTATTTACTAAAGCTATATCTTCCAAATTTGCACAGGACTTGCCATTTCGATGATTCGAATGTTTTATTGATAATAATATATTATTGTGTCTAAACTGGGTCGAATTGGATTAATAATTCCCTTCCTTGTGTAAAATGAATAAAATCAGGCGAAAACTTGCCTTAACCCCCATATAGCTGATATTCACGATTTCGAAACGACCGGCTGACTTTACTCCATATATATGTTTATATTTATCAAATTGCTTGAAAACAAGTTCTCAAGTATACCTAAACAATGTCAAAAGCTAATGCAATCAGCACTTCCATTTCTATGCCCCTAATGATTTTAGTATAATTTATAATAAAATATAGTAATAAAACTAAGTGAGTATATAACCTTCAAAATAAGTTAATATGTTACCAAATTTGATTGTATTGCATTCACCATTTCGTAGAACAATGAAGTTAAACCTTTTCGCTACATTTCTTCATATAAAGTCTTGCCAACACCTGACAGTATTTCCCCGGCACTGATCATTGCAAGTTGCTCGGTTGCACTCGAACTTAGCCCTTATTTACTTGTTTAATTATGAACACATGCTTATGTTTAGAAATATATATTTTTTAATTATGAATTATTTTTACTTCTAACATAATTAAGATATAAATTATTCGCAATGATCAATATGTTTCTAAAATCGGTTCTGTGGTTTTGGAGTTTACCCCGTTTTATATAAATAATTTTTACAGATATATTGAAATAATGTTTCAGAGAGTTAAAATAGTATTATATATATACTTGTAGGTAAATGAAAATATGTATAATAATGCAAAATATATTATGTTATAAAAATAAATTTTAATGCTTGCTAAAGCAATTCTCAAAATATTAATACGATATTATTGACAATATATCAATGATTAAAAAAATTTCGAAAGTATCCATCGTTTAACTGTTTTGAAAAGTTTAAAGAATATAGAATCAAATTTGATCCGTTACTTTTTTATTAAAATATTTGATATATTTTTCTTTTATTAAAGAGTCTATACTATTTTACATTAATAAGTAGTTTAAAATATTTTGTGTTCAAAATTTCAAATGGTGGTGGATTATGCAGAAGAAATTAGCTTAGTGCTAACAAAAGCAATTATTTTATACAGCAATTTTCTATATCACTAAAATAATGGACCATTTTCGTTGGTGCCCCTGACAGGACAATACAACTTTTGAACCAACCTTGAACCAAAATGTTATTTTTGTTAGATCAAACAGCTTTAGAAATTGCTCAACATAATAATATATTTAACTATATGTATTAAGAAAGAATACCAGCTTACCACCGATATAAATCCAAGTTATGCTTTTAAGTGCCAACATAGTGCTGCTGTTGTAATATCCACTAAAAATTTACCAATTGGTTTCAAGTTTTAAATTACGTCCTTGTCCAAATTATTTGGTAGCAGTGATTTTCACAAGTGACTAAACGATTTTCGCAGGCAATTAAAACTAGCAAATCGAATCGTTTGATTGTCGTGATAATTTTCGGTATATAAAAATATATAAGTATATATATTCGCTTGACTTCACTTGTCACTTGCGCGCACTTCAAGGATGCTCGCACCTTCAATTAGATACAACAACAACAATAACAACACAATTACTCGTATGAAGACGTATGTAAGGCGCTGCACAAAAATTGTGAAAGAGTTAAAGATCGCGACCGCGTAGGAGACAACAACAATACGCTTCCGCTCGTCACCTCTGTTGCAATTTAATTTCAGTTAATGATTTTCTAATTGTTGCCGTTCCACAAAAACCAACAACAAAAAGAAACACCAAACACACGCGTATAAAACGGTTTTTGAGATTTTCACAAGTCCACTTTATTGTTGTTGTTGTTGATTGTCATCAGTGTGTTGCGGGAGTTTGTTTGCTTGGTTTAACAGTTATTTTGCTGTTCGTCTGAAACGTTTGTCGGTTTTAGCGATTGGACGCAACGGCACTCAAGCGGAAAAACAAATGCAAATACGCATGCGTATATGTCCGTGCAAGCGTTTGTGCGCTTTAGAAGGCGGACACTGGCGCTGGCGCTCCAAAGCGTTTACAATGTGCAACGAAACGCGAAGAAAACCGTTTTGTATATTAACAAAAAAAAAAAATTACAAATAAACTATGTAAATACACGAAAGCGCTTGTTGTAATTGACAGCTTTAGTAAGTAAGTAATATAAGACAACAATAACAAGAAACACACAATAAATGCTGAGCAGAGCGTTTTTACAGCGCGCACAAAGTCTCACCGATGCCCAAAGACAAGACAAAGAAATACACACAAAAAATTTTCAAACCACTCGTTGTGGTGCGCGATGCACGACCTGATCGTTTATGAATTCGAAGCGGAATGATCTGTGGCAAACGAAAGGAAAACCACTTTGGGCCCATCTCTGCGCAATCGCAACGACGGCAAGCCAAGAGCTTCGAAAAACATCTTCAACGCCGCCAACAGCACGCCAGCAGTAGCGTCGGCAGCGACGCAACAAAGCTGCAGTAACAGTAGCGAAAAGCAACTTCACGAAGCAGCGCCAAACTGGCAGCAGCACCAACAATGTTGGCTTTGGAGCTTAGCCGCGCTGCGCATTATGAGCGTGTTGCTTCTTCACAACTCTAAATTGTTGCAGACTGCTTATGGTTTTGTTGTCTAGCCATTGTTGTTGCTGGTGCTTTTGTTGCCGGCTCACGAGCATTGAGTCGTCGGTGAAGCTTCACTTTCAATAGCTCGCGGTGGCCTATGCGAAGATGTGTGTGTATGTATAGAAATACACATATATGGTATGTGCCCAACACTTATAAACACTTGTATTTTATTACAATTGCTGCCGACCATATTGGTTTACTTTATGTAGAATGTTCTAAAAGTGAAAGGGAAGCTGAGATATACGCGCTTTGTTCGTAAGTGGAATCATGCATCGTGATCGCAAATGTGTAATGAGGTGATTATAAAAATTCTCAAGGAAGTGTTAAGTAGTTGATGCATTTTATTTATACAATTTTAACTCGCGGATCTCAATGCAAAATGGAAATATCATCGAATTATGAAAAATAGTTTTTTTTTTCTAAAATAAGGTAAGTGTTATCAACCTTACTTACAGCAAATCTTAAAACTAACTGAGCTCTGTTGGGAATATTTTAGCTATTATTCCTAACTGGAATAAACCTCTTGACAACATTGGAAAATATCTGAACCTGAGCCAACAAAAGCATATCAAAGAATCACAGGGAGCCGAATATGGTGACTTTCGACTTGTGTTTTACCAAAAAGTCACTCACATTAATCGTGAATCTGACGGCGCATTCGCCATTGAAGTTTCATACCCGAAACATTAACCAAAATGTGTTTGTTCGATTCAAAGGAGATGTTGAGATACTTTTCTATCTGTCTCACGCCAACATGGCGATCTTCAAGCATTGTTTCCTTAACTCGTTCGATGTTATCGTCATAAACAGAGGTGAATGTACAACTCGCTTGAGGCAATTCGATGACTTCATGACCTTCACTGAGTGCTTTGTGCCACAGAAATACTTGTGTTTGTGATATAGGAGATTCCCCAAAACACTTCTGCAACATCGATCTAGTTGCGCGAGCTAACTTCGTACAGTCCGGGTCAAATTTGATTAGATGCAATCACATTGGCATCCACACTTCTCCTGCAATTGCCCAGATAGAACTATATAATCTCTTTACCACTTTGAAAAAAATATATAGACATTTCGATATGTACACAAGACCTTCTCGACTAGTGAAAAAAGAGCGTGCTATTTAAACAACGTCTTGATTCAGCGAACGCAAGAAACTTCTACCGAGCTTAAGATAAATAGGATGAACAACCTGCACTTGTCACTGATGCCCTAAATTTACAAAAACACTTGCATAAGTATTTATTGGCACAGTAACCTATCTGTCAAGCAATCTAACGCCCTAACTAATTGCCACCGCACCTGCGGCTAGCATTCAAGTGAATTCCGCCACAAACAACGGTTAACGCATCATTTTCCCACCCCAAACTCTTACGGCGACTACGCCAAATACATAAAATTATACCAAAACACACTTTTCCGCAATAAATATAGGAATTATATAATAAGCGCAAGTGTTCGCAGGCGTTCGATTGCGACCCACTGTGCGCATGCGCTCAGAGATTTTAATCTGCTGAAGATGCCTCAACTGCTATGGGACAACATTTACGACAGCCAGCAGGCAGCAAACAACAGACAACAGACAAAGGCGACTAAGCGGCCAACAACAGCAATAACAATGACTATGCTCAGCACAAAGAGACAAAAGCAACCAATGCAGAAAAAGAAGAAGTAGCAGCAGCGGCTCAAAAGCGCACGGCAAGTAACTTTGGCAAATAACGCTGCTGTGTGAAGCTTCGCATCGCAAGCAAAGCAAGCTGAGACTCAGCAGTTGCATGGCTATGTATGTGTGTATGTATGCAGAGGTAATGTCTTTGAGGCATGCAACAGCGCAACTGGATGGCCAGCAAATGCGCGGGTGATGCATCACACTTTTCGGCGCTTACATCATCTATAAATAAATGCAAATATGCACAAACTTGTGTGTGTATGCGTGTTTGTTTGTAGGTGTGTAGCTTTTTGTGGCAGCATTTGCTGGGCGCTCAAAGCTTCGAAGTATGAATAGGAGATGCGCCGAGGAAGTGCGCTCTTGCGCTGGCTGCTGTTGAATTGGCAAATGCGGTTTAGGTGCACCGAAAATAGTCAAGCCGTTGGGGGAGTGAGCGTGTGACTCAACTGTGACTTCGCCTGCATCATTCGGTTTCTACCGTGATTGTTATGCTATTGCGGAGATGCGGCGGCGTCGATTGTTGCTACATGCCTATACGCTGAATGCTTGTTTGTTTGCCTAGCTGGCTGACTGGCTGGCTATTTGTGCTGTCGATGGTGTGACTGCGGCTGGAGGCCATGGAAAATGTCTTTGACTTGTTGGCGTTTCGTGCGCGACAAGCGGCGAGAATTGTTGCAGGCGTTTTGTTGTTTGTCGCCGCAACATGCAAATAGAAGTTTGCACGTATGCGAGGCGGCTAAGGAGGGGATGGAAGCTGCCGTAACTGAGCGGTATATGTGTATGCAAAAATATGTGCTGCTTACAACCGTATAATGCCACATGTTGCATGTCGTTGTTTTTGTTCAAGTCTTATACGTCGCTTGACAACAACTTCGCGCTGCATGCAAACAAGTTGTGTGTGCGTGTTTTACTCCCCTGCATTGGTTGTTAGACAACCGCGCTGTTTTGCTTAGTTATTTAAATGCTGTCACAACTATTTGTTGCTACCTTGCTTTTATAGTTATGTGTGTGTGTGTGTCTGTGTATTACCACACGAATGTAGGTGACTGTGCCGCACCACAGCACAACGTGGCCTGCCATGGCATGTGGCATAGACTTGCCCGTTGTAAGGCTCGTGTACTGGCGGCGCGGCGTAGAGCGGTTGGTGGGCGCAGGCAACATCACAGCAGCATCCTCGCCTCAATTGCTGTCGCTGCTGCCACGTTATCGTCTGCGCCGGTGACGACAGCGTCAACGTCATAGGTGGCTCGGCTGACGTATGCGGCAGTGTGGGAACTTGTAGTCCCGCAACATCTTTACACACTCACATGTATACTGGCATCTGTGTGTATTGCTTTGTATCATTTGGAAAATATTTATTTAAATTTGGCAAATATTCATGTGAATTGCTATGACGGTTGCGGTATCATTACAATTGTATTTTAGTTGCTCAGTCATGGATTAGGCTTTCCACTCTGTCTGGCGATGTAGATGTTAAACAATTGATAGTTTTCCAGATTATGCACACAGACAAATAACAATTTCAATGCTTTCGCTGCATTCATTGTCGTTTTCGTTGGCTTCAAATGGATTTGCTCAAATTTTATTATTCGAAAAGTTAATGGTAAACTGTTTACCTTAATGACACTGTATTATAAGTTAGAGTAATGAAGTCATTGTTTCAATTAGATTAATATATTTGAAGCAATTTAATTCAAGAAAATTTTACCACCACATTTCTATGCTAATTTGACGGGCCTTATTTGCTTTTCCTATAATTATTGATGAGAGAAGCCTTTTTAGAAGCGTACCGTTATTGATGCAGTTCAGTTTTAAATAATGGAGTATTTCTAAATGTTCTATATAAAATATTTACGACAAAGAGGATAGCTCTCATTTCATATCAATTTTCCGCACCGTAAGCTTAGTTATTGTAGCTGAGCGATGACTCTCGTTTCGTGTTTGACCAAAAAGTCACTCACAATCACGCTACAAGTAGAATGATCATCAGGTTCAATTCAGGTACGAGTCTATACAATTCATACCCAAAACTTTAGCCAAAACGTGTTGGCGTGAAATCTTCTGCTATCACTCTGATGTTAGCACTTCGATTTTCAAACACTGTTTCTTTCACTTTTTCAATGTTATCGTCAGTACCATAGGCAAGTTTTCGATGACTTCACGACCTTCACTGAAAACTTGAAATACTTGTCTGTGTGACAAAGTAGAATCCCCAAAATATTTCTGCAATATTTTCAACGATTTCATAGCCGTGAATCCATTGATAAACAAACTCGTTGTTAAATTTTTTTTCATGGAGAAAATCGCCGGATAAGCATTTCGTGCGTCAACAAACAGCTGCCAACTAATTGATATATGAAGGCGAAACTTCACACGAACATAAAAAAAGGTTTACCGTTCTAAGAAAAAAAAGTGTTTTCGCTTAGGTTTGCCCGCGCTGTTTATGTGGATCAGTCACAATTTTTATTATTGATATTTATACACCTTTTTCAGTAATTAGTCAAAGTAGTTTTTTTTTTTAGTCGCTGTTATTTGCTACCAAAACCTATTATGTTGTGTTATTCGTATATGCAAAGCTCGATCAAATCTGAGAGAGAGAGATAGAGATAGAGGAGTCACAATTAAGTTTGTTAAATAGCTGATATTTTCTTCGGCTGAAATTTTCATCAGTAATTTGCTAGCAAGAAAACAGCTGATAACAGTTACAGTTAATAGCTAACATAATTAATAGTGAAATTCTAAAAAATTGGGACTTTGAGAAGTTTCAAATATCGAAACTCATACATATAAAAACTTAAGCATCGTAAGCTTATAAACTAACGGAAAAACCACGACTGTCGTTACTTCACAGTTGATATTTATCTTTATTATACCTTAAGCATATAACGCTTCTAATCTGCTTTGAGTAACATTTGATTCTTAAAAAAGAACAGTAATGCTTTAATATTTCGGAGTTCAACAAACTTTGGTAATGTATTTTCTTTGAAGAGACATATCAATCTTTTTGCTTTAATTTATATTTCAC